CACACACAGTCAAACACATACACAGACACAAACACACACACAGTCAGACACAAACACACACACACACACATTAACTTTTTTTTAAAATTTAAATCCCAACCTCCTTACCTTTGGGAGTGCTGGGGGGGGGGTGGGGGTCTCTCTCCCTGGTGGTCCAGTGGCTGCAGGGCGGGCGGCGCTGGCAGGCGGGCGGCCGGCGAGGGAGCTCTTCCCATGAGCTGACTGCTCAGCTCCCTCGCGCGTCGGCTGCAGAGTGAGGCTGGGAACCGGAAGATGACGTCATCTTCCGGCTCCCAGCCTCACTTTGCGGTGCGCGAGGGAGCTGAGCAGTTTTTTTGCCGCCCCCTGAAAAATGCCGCCCAAGGCAAATGCCTTGTTTGCCTCGCGGCTAATACGTCCCTGGTTGAGGGCCCTGCCCAATGAGCTTACATGCTAGAGGGTGTGGGGTAGAATGACACAAAAGGTAAGGATAGTATTAGACGAGTGACAATTGCAAGAGAGGAATCAGTCAGGAGCTATTAACAGTTTAAGTGATATGCTTTTATGAAGAAGTGGGTTTTTAATGATTTTTTTGAAGGAGTGGAGACTGGGTGAGCACCTAACGGAGGAGGGAAGTGAGTTCCACAGGAACGGTGCAGCCCTCGAGAAATCTTGAAGGCGAGCAGCAGAGGTGGGAGAACGGACAGAAGATAGACGTAAGTCTTCAGCAGAGCGTAAGGGCCTAGACGGGACATACTTGTGTATTAGGGAGGATAGGAATTATGGCTTTCGCATCATTTGTGATTTAGCCTCATTCATAGTTCTAGTTCATACACCTTTTCAGATGCTTCTTTAGGTTGGAAAAGCTGGGGCAAGATTTATAATCCGGATTAAATTCCCTATCCATGAAGTCATGCCCCAGCACTTCAGGGCATTAATTCAGTCACTCTCTCTCCTCATGACATGCTTAGAGGCATACCGGGAAGAGACAAACACAGACATACAATTTACAGGGGAGAGAAATAATTAATGGTTGTAGTTCTGACAAAGTGGTACCCAGGAGGGTGACTCCCATCAATGCTTCCGTAAGATTGATGAATCCCACTCTGGACAGTGCCAAGTCACATTGTGGAGTACTGTAGTTTGAAAACAAAAAATGGCAGATGTAAAATGCATATGTCTATCTGTCTCTGCAGTTTTAGTTGTACACTTTAAATTGAACCTGCCATAATAAACATCAGAATTCCCAAAAAACAAAAGCATTGATTGGAAAAAATATAGATCCACTCTTCACCTGTCGATCGGTTCTGGCTGACATAGACCTGTATGTCACATTTGACTGGCAGGAAAGAGCAGGAGAACCCTTGTACAGGCATTTACCTGTTACTGCAACTACAGTACACTGGCGTAGCAAGCACTTTATGTGCTGTATAGAGTTATATAGGAATGGATTGACTGATGTGAAACAGAGGTAGGAGACACCAAGGGTGAATATTACTGTTGTGCTAGATTGAAGGTAAGTAGTTGAATCAGCTCACAAATTTCAATGAACTATATCATT